AAACCCCTCAGATCTAACAGGGAACACCAACAGCACCACTCTGCACCTGAGAGGAAATCCCGTGGGATTTCACAATTCATTTTGGRACCTGGCATGAGTGAGATGGTTAAACTTGCTGACAATAAATAAACCTGTGGGAAGCATTACCATGCACTCCTCCCTCATCCCTTCTGGGTTTTATTGAAATAGCTTTTGACTTCTTCATCCAAATTTAATGGGAGTTTTGTCCTTTTCCTCCCCATGCCCCCTCTCCCCGTTCTCCATTTATTCACTGCATGTAGCAATTGTGACAATATAATTGTGCCTAAGAAGGGACACTTCACTGGAGCCAGACCAGGTCCAGCATTTAACCTGTGCAAATCAGCACTGGTTCATGGAGAAAGGAGAGTGCAGATTAAGGATTTCTCATCAGCACAAAGGCAATGCTGACCAAACTGAAATGCAGGAGAAGAGGAAATATCCCTTCACCCTCACAAAAAAGGCTCCTGCCCATCTCAGGGCTCAGTGTTGGGGTTCAGGGCTGAGCTGCACTGTCTGGAACCCCCTTCCCACTGACACTGCTGCACAGTGTTCATTAAAATAAAAAAAATAAATAAATAAAAAGAAAATCGAGGGCTTGAAGCAATTTAATTACTAGTCTTGCGTGAATCCAAAAATTTTACAGATAAATGAATGTGGCAAATTAACGATAAGAAAATGAGCAATAGAAGCTGCTTTAGAACAATTCCACTTTCCCCCAGAAAGAAAGCCTTCCTCTCCTCTCCTCTCCTCTCCTCTCCTCTCCCAGATTTGCATCAACAAGCTACAGAACAAACAAAACCCAAACTTTTTCTAATGGATTCGGGCAGAAGTGGCACAGAGCTGGAATTTCTCTTGCTGCAGCTTTGTCACCAAATCGAGGCCAAGCAGCACAAAGCACAGTGAAACACAKCACACACGTGCTGACACCTCAGCCACGCTGCAGCACCAAAAAWGCTCAATTTGAACCTGAAATGTCTGTGTCAGACACAACTGCAAAGAGCAGCCACAGCTCCTGATGGATGTGAGGGATGCTCCGGGCATTCTCAGCTCTCACAGAGATTCTGAGTCAAAAAAACCACACTAAGGATGATCTTTACAGCATCTGCAGRGCAAACCCCACCAGAACACTGAAAACCCCCAAATAAACCCCAAAAACAGAGCCCTGAGTGTGCTGCTTTTTAGGGGTGCCCAGATTTGAASGCTCAMACASCAGCACCTCCYTCASAAAAYRTGAGACRATTAATAAAGAARCAGCTATGAAAAATTAAACACAAGACACATTAAAAATAAATYGTGTTACCTTACACATAAGTAGCGTCTTTTAAAGTGCAGAAATGGAGGCATTAACGTGTGTTCCTAACAGAGCAAAAGTCAAAATTCTCCTATGGATGTGAGGACTGCCTAAAAAAATCACGGCAGGAGGATGACTTTGGTAGATTTAACACAATCTGACACCACTGTCTGGGTAACAAGGTTCTGTATTGCCTGCAGAAAGGCATCTGTTGCCCTGTGTGCTAGTTTGCTCATCCATCAATTATTTTTGTTTAAAAAAAAAATCTGATGCACTATTCATTTAYTTGTAGCTGTTTTTCTTTGAGAATTTTTGCTGCCAGGAATGACAGCGTTGGAACATTGTGATCATAATCCCCTGTGAGAGCTCTCTGTTTCAATGATACACAAACAGAATTCATCCAGGAGCAAAGGGAAACCAGCASAGTCTGCAGGTAGGTAAAAGGGGGAAAATTAGGAATCTGCTGATCTTTTCTCATGTATTTTGGCCTGTAAATGACTCACTCCAACGGTCAGGTTCATCACCTGCAGCTCATGTTTTATTTCTCCCAAGAGCTGGGTTTTAAAGGCAAAGCTGAGTCATCCAAAGGAGGAACCTCCCCACGGCCACCAGAGCGGGCTCAGGGCTACAGCCTGGGATGAACTGCCTAAAACCACCGTGATTCTATCTGATTTTAGCTGATTTTAGCTGATTTTAGCTGATTTTMKCTCTGCCAGCAGGGATAACACAGCCTGTCCTGCATCGTTCACCAAAGAACAGAGCCTGGGGCACTCTGGGCCCTGCAGCAGGCACAGAAAAATGGGTTTTTGTGAGTCAGGAGAGCTGCTCTGTGCTGCCAGCTGAGGATGTGACAGTGCTGTGCTCCATCTGACAGCTCTGGATCCAAATCAGAGAGAAAAGAGAGAGAAACGGGACAGAAGGAGAGGAATGGGAATGGGAATGTCCCTCCCTGTCCCAGATCTGGGCAGAACTGCCACCCTGCACACTGAGAAATCACAGTTTATAACTCAGTGGAAAACCATTAGATACAATGAAAAATAAACAAGATAGTCCTTACTTTTTTGGGGTGTTTTACTATTTCCATTTGCTCCTYCCTCTCAGCTGCCATGGTGAAGAACACGTTAGCAAGCAGCACAGGAAAGTAGTTGGACATTTTATGGTGTTAACACTTAAAAACTACAGAATCTCAGCAGAGAACACCAACAGACACCTCTGTGCCTTCCACTGCTGCTCCTAAGGCAAAGGAAGAACTACCCAGAAACTTTAAATAAAACAACCTCACAATTGGATTTCCTTCGTTTTAAAAATAGGAACTTTTCCATGCAAATYATACTCGGTTCTAACAAAGGCAAACAAATGCAGCTTTACCCCTCTAATCAGCAGCAGGCTGAATTTAGCATAAGAAACACCACGTAAAAATAGCACTTCTTAAAAAGCACTGCTAAATAAGGGCCACGGGAGCTGCAGGAGTTTATTGGCCTTGGGAATCACTGCAGCACTGGGAGCAGAAGTTACGGAGGAAACACAAACAATTCAATCTTGGTGTTGTTTTTCACTTCAATTAAACTCTCCAGATATCGAGCCTTGCTCCCAACTCATCCCATTCACTCCTGGTCTGTTCTCCTGATGATTCCAG